CCAGGGCGGGAGCGCGAGCGGCGACAGGCATCGGCGGCTGGCTCCTGATCACACGAGCTCAGAGGAGGGGACAGAAGGAAGAGGGTGGGGAAAAAAAAGGCAAGAAAAACACTGACAAACGTGTGACACAGTTGTCAAGTTCTGTGAGGCCAATCAATCCCCTTGAGCTGTCGAGAGCAGAAAGGATGAAAGCGGCTGTTTTCAAAACACTGGTCACGTCGAACGCTTGCCCGTACGCGGATGTTTTGTTCACTTCTCGGAACAGTTCTCCCATAGGAAATAATGGAGTTATCTAAACCGCATTCCAATGAAGTTGGGCGGTTGTGTTATACCGCAATCAAAAAAGAATACAACGATTTGCAAATCACGTCCCAACCGAGCAAAGCACGGAAGATGCTCAATGTGGATTTCGGCTGCCGTATTTCAGTTCCATGACACACAAGGCAATCTCGAGTCTCCTCTCCCCTGCCAAGAGCTTTTCAAAGCGCCCCCCCTCCCCCCCCCACAACCCCTTCCCCAAATGACTCATTTGCTTCCACTCCGGGCTTCATAAAGACGAGCCGGGGACGGCGTGTTTATGTTTGTGTCAGCTTGACGTATTGTCCTCCTGGGTGGGATCTTTTTCTGGTCGTGTCACGTGCACTGCCCTGTGATTCCCCTGCCATCCTTTCGCTCTCTCTCTCTCTCTCTCAACTTGGCCCCGCTGAGTTTTCATAGTGGAAAAATGTAACACACGCGGGGCAAGTGCTTTTTTTTAAATTTTTTTTTTTTTAGGGAGTCGCAGATGTTTAGCAAATACCTGCACCAGGGTTGCTATTTGCGACATCCTTGCCAGTGTTTTGTGGAGAAAAAAAAAAACGGATTCCATATTTAATCTGAGCAGTGCAGACATCCATCCATCCATTTTCTGAACAGCTTTATCCTCAAAAGGGTCGCGGGGCGTGCTGGAGCCTATCCCAGCTGTCTTCGGGCAGTAGGCGGGGGACACCCTGAACCGGTTGCCAACCAATCGCAAGGCACACAGAGACGAACAGCCATTCACGCTCACACGAGGGACAATTTGGAGTGTTCAATCAGCCTGCCATGCATGTTTTTGGAACGTGGGAGGAAACCGGAGTACCCGGAGAAAACCCACGCAGGCCCGGGGAGAACACGCAAACTCCACACAGGGAGGCCGGAGCTGGAATTGAACCCGGTACCTCTGCACTGTGAGGTCGACGCGCTAACCACTGGACTCCCGGGCCGCCCCCAGTGCAGACATATAGATTAATAAATTAGTCAATACTCTGAAATGTTCGAGAAAAGGGATCTTCAAGTAAAAAAAAAACAAAACAAAACATGCCAATGCCAGATGGAAGCAAAAGTCGAGTTACGAATACAAATTCATCCAGGATAAAATAAATCATGATGAAAACGTCTGAATAAATGTAGAATTAGCAAATCAAGAGCAGGTAAACTTTGTCAAGTTCTGTATAAGGTTTCCTTTTATCATCTCCAGTTGCTGATAACAAAGTGCTGCTCTGTGAGTGCTATTACAACTCAAAGTTCACCGTGTTGCAACTGTTGCAACTTTAAAACGCCGATTGCCACCGGTTCAACACTTTGTGAACAGAAATAATAGTATTAATCATAAAAATGCACACAAAAAAAAACACTGTGAATTATGTTCGTGCCGGGTCAGTTGTTTGTCTCGAGTAAATCCATCACTGCATGAATAATACGAATGGAACTTCCTGGTCAGTAAAGACACACAAGAGTCATATTTACAAATCATCTCAAGGACAACTATTTATTCATGTGGTGGGCGACCTAACCTTCAATGTTCAAGCGACCGTTTAAAGTTTGTTTTGTGCTGAACATTTCCCGGTCTTTGGTTGTTCTTTGCAATCAAAGGATATTTGATTTGGTGTCTCGGTTCCTACTGTCAAGATTTTTATATGAATCGGAGTGTTGCTGACATTATTTTAGCTATCGATGCAGTGACAACACTTTAAAAACAAATGTTTTGAGACCAAGTACAAGTAGTACGTCTTAGTACTCGCCGATACATAGTACCGCTTCTCCACAATGCAACGGCATCTCATCCTTGAGCTAAATGTTTTTTTTTGGAGTTTTACTCCCATCTAACAATTCAACACACAACTTCATGATGATCTCACACAGTTCACTTCAATGTAGCCCCGTCACGCAAGGTATTTCAGTTGCGTGGTTTCTCAGTCCGCGAACACCCGAGAGCAAGTGATTGTATTCACAAGAGACAAAGGAAAAACTAAAAGACAAAAATGGATGTCTCATCTGGTGCCAAGGGTTAGGAAACTCCGGTTCCTCGAGAGCCATATCCTGCCGCTTTTAGATCCCTCCCTTCTCCCAACACACCCGATTCAATTGTTCATGATCGTTTCAGGCCTCCACAGAGCTCGCTGACGAGCTGCTCATTCGAATCGGGTGTGTTGGGGTAGGGAGGGACCTAAAACGGGCAGGATCTGGTGGATGGATATAAAACAAATAGACATATGGATGCATATTATACGTCTGCGTTTTTGACTATAAAATGGAGAGAGTCAAATGATATATCACAGCACGAAGCCGAGCGGGCAACGGGACTCGTTACTTGCCGGATTGTTTACCTTAAAAGTACCTTCGCTCGGCTGACGTAGTTCCTTCCCCGGAAGGTGAATGTCAGACTGGTTCAGCGGCATTTGTGCGTTTTAATTTTTAATGTATTTATTTTTTTAAAACGAGTACCAGTACTGTCCAGGCATCCCTAGCATTAGTGTTTTGTTTTTGAGTCTACCCATTGATAAATCCCAGGCTTTAGGTTAAGGTACTTGTTGGGCTTTTAGGAAGCTTGCGACATGGCACAGTCTTGGAATTCAGTACCCTGAAGCCGATCGTGAGGTGATTCTACTAATGGTCAAACGCACCCCCCACCCGTCTTTTTTTGGGGGGGTGGGGGAGCAGTCCAAATCGCTTATCACTGGCACATTTGTGTTCTACGTGTTCAGGTTCTGCACCCAATGAAAACGACTGCACTATCACAGTTATGCTTGATGTGACTGCGCAAACATGTTCCAGATTTCTGGACCATATCCCCCCCGCACCCCTCGCCCCCTTTTGGGATAATTGTGCATTTCCTGTGGCCAGTACAGTGGAGGTGAGCTTATTTCCTCAGCTCGCGAGCTGTAAGCCGATTCACAGACCAAAGGTCCTTGGCACACCGCTGAGTTATTGACAGCTAATCACAGATTGGTTTTAGTGCTCTTTGTCTCATGCTCTTTATCGCCGCCAAGTAATGTTCTCACACCGCCGCTGCTACACAGCTGGCTTGTCACATGGCCAGACCTTTTGCGTGCTGTTCATATGTTTGTTTTTAGACCTTGCCTCCCTTTGATTGTTTAAACACGAGTCAGACTCTCATTAGTTGTTTTCGACATCTCGGTTAGAGAAAGTGTGATGACAGGTGGCTCCCTTCCACCTGTCGTTTGTTCAACTCCGCAGCCACGGAGGTTGTGTCGGGCCGCACCGCGCCCCCGCCATCAGGCGCTGATCCCGCTGTAGCCACTGTCCTCTCCGAGCTGAGCTCAAGCAGCCTTTCTAGGGGGTGGGGCTGCCTCGCCGTCGACCTTCTCTTTGATTTATGGGTTCCTCCCTCCTCCCCCTCCCCATCCACCTCATTTCCCCTCTGTCTGACCAACCTCCAACTCAACCTCTCGCTCCCTCCCCGGCCTCTAGCAGAACCACCCTGTGTCCATCACGGAAATCACGCTTTGTAAACAAATGCTCGGTATCATGAAAATGCAAAAACGATTGATGTCAAGGTTACATTCCTTGCGGTACGCTCCATTGCCCATGGTGTTTTATAATCAGATGTACGATGGGGCGGAAAAAAGTCATTTTAAAAAAATGTTTCTGGCAGTTTGGAAATACTCAAGTGACATGTTCTTGCCTGCCCGTACATGTTTTTAAACATTTTTTTGTGGACAATGGACTATATTTTTCTCCCCCACAAGAAACTGTGGAAATAGGCTGCAAAAGGCGTAATGTATGCATATGAGTCATGTTTTACATCACTTGTGCGATGTCACGTCTTTCACACAAACAATGGACAAGAATAATTTCCATGAACCTTTTGTGGGCATGTTTATCATACCAAGATTCACGAAAAGTCTCTTGAAGCAATGCCCGGAATCGAACAAGAAGTTTAGGTTGGCTCAATGGATGTGTTTATTAATAATAATTACAACAACTTGGCTTTGGTAACAAGGGGCGTCACACATGGAGTACACTTATATTGCATTGCCAATTTACTTGATTAATCAATGGGATAATGCATATTGCATCGTAAATCCATTGCCGAGTCAAGAAAAATGCACCATGTGGAATTACTGTACTTTCATGATGCTGTTTACTCCAAGTGTTTGTCTGACTTTAGCGACATAATTTCCCCTAAATTGTGTCCCTCCACTGGACATATTTTCCTCTTCCCATCATAACATCTCTGGCCTGAAGTTAACCTCTCCTCAGCTGACAATTCTTCACTTTAATACAATATGTCCATTGCTGTGGATATTTGTTTGTTTTCGTCATGGTTACACTTGGTCGCGTGGGTATGCGGAAAAAAAAAAAGCCCCCAAAGTTTTGTAATGCATGTCAAAAAAAGGGTCAAATAGCAGAACTTGGCATTACCGGGTTCAGTGAGTAATACATGATGTGTTGGAGACTTAGAAAAGTGCTCTTTTCGTAACGATTGTAGATTTGTGATCCGGTGTTATTTAAAAGGCCACCTTTTGTGAATGAAGTCACCGATTTAAAAGTGGTCGCGTGCCAGTGATTAAAGGAATAGATTAAAAACTAAACTCGGTAAATAGAGGATATGCAAGCGCTGCTTTTGTTTAAAAAAAAAAAAAACTACTTTGAGGCATGAATGCTTTCTCTGTTGGTATGATCCTAGTGCTTTGTGTGCTGTGTGATGTAGTGATAGCATGTATTTGCTTCGACAGGTGTGCGGCGACCAAAAACAACCTGGACTTCTACCTGTTGACCCTGACCACAAGGGGTCCCTGCGGGTGACCCCCCCCCCCCTCCAACCCCCCTCACCACCACCTCCGATTTGATGCTCCATAAACACCATGCACCGGAGCTGGTGTGGATTTAACCCTGCCCTTTAAAAGCGCCGAACCTCCCGCGTCCCTTCACCTGCCATCCGAGGACACGCCCACCGGCCGAGATGACGGGGGTAGCGGCGTGGTCCGCCAAGGACGTCGCGGACTGGCTGAGCAAAGAGGGCATGATGGAGTACATCGACGCCCTCCGCCAGACGGACGGCGCCGCCTTGCTGCAGCTCACGCAGGCCGACTTTCACCGACCGCCGCTCCTGCTGGTGTCGTCGGACGGCGGGCAGCAGCTGCTGGAGCGCCTGGAGACACTGCGGATCGAGACCCACATCGAGGCGCACAAGAACGGTCACGCGAACGGCCACGCCGGCGGCCTGCCCAACGGGACGGTTCAACCCCAACGGAACGGGACGTTGCGGACGGCGGAGATGGTGCGCATTCCCATCCCTCCGATGGAGGCCTCGCGCACCTCCTTCCCGCCCGAGTGGGGCAAGACAGGCGTGGCCTTCGTCTACGCGGTGGTGTGCTTCGTCACCACCACCGTCGTGATCTCGGTGGTCCACGAAAGGGTGCCGCCGAAAGAGCACACCCCGCCGCTGCCCGACAAATTTTTTGACCTGTTCAACAGGGTCGAATGGGCCTTCTCCATCTGCGAGATTAATGGCATGCTGCTGGTGGCGCTGTGGCTCTTACAGTGGGCTGTCCTAAAGCACAGGTACGGGTTTTACGAGGGGATAGCGACACAGCCATTCTGAGTCCCAGAAAAAGTGTGATACACAGAGCAACCCCGCTATACTTAAATTAATCAGCCATCATCTACTTAAGACAAACACCTCCTTGCAACAGGCGCCTCCCAAAATGGCCAGTAATAGAATATCTGTTCAGTTGAATTCCGTTGCTAACCAAAACAGCATCACCAAAGCAAGTAAGCACAAATTTTGAAATTTAAATCAATTGTCAGTTGCTTAGCTTAGTTGAAAACCGGCTTCGAGCTCAGAAGCTGAGTCACACTGTGTTTGTTTGCAGAACTGGTGTGAGGCAGTTGCATTTCTTGTCCCCAACCTAATATGTGATATGATTGCCCCTGCGTTTGATTATTTAATTTTTTTTCCAAGTAAACATTTTGGTAGGTTTGGCCAAGTAACACTTGTTGTGTATGGCAGCGGTTCTCTCGTCACAGAATTTCAGAAAATCACTGAATTGAATATTTAAATTTAGCGTCATTTTTTAAACTTTTTTATCCAGTATAGTGCATTTGTTATATCCAATTTGGTTAGATTTAAATTGAATGCATTTGCATAGAATGTTTCAAATCCCCCAAAGGGCAGTTACCGCCACACCCATGACTCGAGGTTCATTTTTTTTCTTTCCTGAAGCACCGTGTTAATGTTCAAAGTAAACATAATGTTACTGTGCATAATAATATTAACTAAACCATTCCTAATAAAACCTCTGCCTTGTTTTTGCTAAACACGAAGTCATGTACTGCAATATTGATCCTCATGGTATTACTTGGATAGCTAATAATGTTTATACGTAGTACTTTCTTTAGGATGTTTGAGAATCCTATAAAATTTTTTAAATTTTTTTTTTATATGAACTAACTTTGTTGTTCTTTTTTTTTTTTTTCCAGGTCAATCATAGGCAGACGCTTCTTTTTCATTGTGGGTACACTGTATTTGTATCGGTGTATTACCATGTACATCACCACTCTGCCTGTCCCCGGGATGCACTTCAAATGCTCTCCGAAGGTACGATACACACTGCATCGTTAATTTGACTCCGAGGGGATTAATGAAACCTGTCAGGCTGTCTGCAACATCGCGCGTAAACATCTGTTGTTATGATTAAGTGTGTTTGTGTGCGTGTACATGCACCTGTGCTGCTTTCAGCTTCTGGGCGACTGGGAAGCGCAGATGAGGAGAGTGATGAAGATGATTGCCGGCGGCGGCCTCTCCATCACGGGCTCCCACACCATGTGCGGAGATTACCTGTACAGCGGCCACACGGTCATGCTAACGCTAACATACCTCTTCATCAAGGAGTGTAAGTCAAAGACGCTCAAGCGAAAAATGTCACGTTATGAAATGCGTGACCGAAAGTTCACAAACGAACACTTCTCTAAAGTGCGTCATGAAATTGAGTCACACAGGAAACTGACTGCACATATTTGACTAAGCGCTAGCAAAGCCACACGTTGGTTTCATATTAAAACCGCACGGTTGGCGTGACACTGTTTTGTGTTCTACAAGCAAGCTAGGCCCTTTTGTACTTGGAATGTTACCGTCAGCGGGCATTTTGAGAAGCAACAAGGTCGACTTGTGCAAGTTTTTATGAGCTGATATTTTTATCTTCCTGGCCGGTTGAGTGAATTGCCTGGTTGATGCAATAGTGACCTCTCGTGGAGAAATTAACTGGATTTATTTTAAAGAAATACACATTGCTGCATTGCAAAAAAAAAGTTCTGTATACAAGCTATTAATTCAGTTTACTTGCGCCGCAAATCATGTGTCTGCATTTGAAATGAAGTGAAATACCATTCCAAAAAACACCACGATTTTTCAAATGACTGGTTTTTAATTACCGGTAGTAAAAGTGCAGCAACAGCAGCAACTTGCTCTCTATCTTCGCCCAACCTCGCTGATTACGTCGTAGGTGGGGAAACTTTGCTTGCTTACAGTTACTTTGTCAATTAGCGGGTTGTTTTTTCGTCTCATTCACAGACACATTTTTCGGAACTAGGGACCTATTAAAAGGTTTAATTTCACACTTCATGGGTGGGCAAGCACTCCAGAGACCTAACTATTTCGATGCAAGCCAATATATATTTTTAATTTGTATTTTATTTTATTTTTTTGAATAATATTTCCCCTTAAACAAGTGTTATGACCAATATGTTTGTCGGGTAGATTCCCCCAGACGGTTCTGGTGGTACCACTGGTTCTGCTGGACCTTGAGCGCCGTGGGAGTCTTCTGCATCCTTCTGGCGCATGACCACTACACTGTGGATGTGGTGGTGGCCTACTTTATTACGACACGCCTCTTTTGGTGGTACCACACGATGGCCAACCAGCAGGTTAGTATGCACACCCGTGACCCTTGTGAGGCTACCTGTGTTGTGACATTTACATACCATTCCATCTCTACCCGTACGCTAACTCCCAACATGTCCATACGTGTTTTGTGGTCGCCAGTCGCTGAAAGAGACATCGCAGAGTAACCTTTTCTCGCGGGTGTGGTGGTACCAGCTCTTCCTGTACTTGGAGGAGAACGTCAGCGGCATCGTTCCCCGCTCGTACCAGCTGCCGCCGTGGGTGCGAACTGTGCAGTGGAACCGCGGCGTCATGTACAGCCGGCTTGATGTCCAGTGACGCTCACCGCGACGTCACGGCAGGCAGGACTGTGAATTCCAAAAGTGCTGTTTTGTTTTTTTAAGGCAGAACGTACTGTTTTGATGTAGCGCAATCCTTCCCCTCGTCCCTCTGAAAGCAGGTGATGCCTCTGTTATCTCTCCTGTCCCTTCTTTTTTTTTTGTTTGTATTTTTGTTCTCTGCAGGTAGCATCTAATATGTCTTTTTATTTGTTTTGGTATATCGTTCTCTTTGTGTCACTTAACAGTTTCAAACATTTAAAAAATATATATCCTCAGTAATATTAATGTATCTAACAAGTAGTTTTTCCCCACTTGCACTTAGCGCAAAATCAACGTAATGTCTTTGTGCTTTTTTTTTTACTCTCCCAGTCGTAGTTGTCTCATAAAAAATGTCCTTTCTTTTTAAATCCCCAATACACAAACATTTAGATTTACACATTTAAAGTTAAAAATGTCACCTGCATTTGTTTTTTTAATCAAAGTAATTCACCTTTTTGTAATCTAAACTTAGTCAAATGAGTCAAAGGTGCAAATAACTATTTTTTCTAACATGTTTATTTTTCAAGAGAAAAAAAACTCCGCCAAAAGATTTTTTTTTTTTTAAAGACTTTTATCTTTTTCAAGAAATTGTAAGGATCTATAAAGAAATATCACAGTGCCTTTCCTTGCTTGGTTGTGAAGCAACTTCAAGTACCGTATGTCTTGCATCCCTTGACCTACATTGGAGTCACAAGGGGTCCGGTTTTCTGTCCATGAATGTAAAGCCCCCCCCAAAAAAAATCCCCCAAAACAAATGGCAGCCTTACTGCAAGGATTGGTCTTCCCAAATGAGTGTGACACATGTCCCATCTGTGTATTTCTTGATGCTTTGTCATGCCCTTTTACGCTTGGATAACAGGAAATATGACTGTTATATATATATATTTTTTAAGAATGTCTGTATCATTTCATTGTTAAGTTTTGAAGCAACACCAGCGCTAAAGCGGGGTACACGCTTACCGCTTTTGAACATCTGCGTGAGAGATCCTCACGTGGTAAGAAAGAGTGCTTTTTCAGCTCTTGTCACCCATCGTCCACTAGTTACGCTGCGATTCAAAATTTGCATCGGCATCAAAATACACGTTTCCGAACAGAAGTGTGATTCAGATGGCTATTGCGAAACTGTTACCAACAAAGTATGGTGGACCTTTGGATGTGAAAGTGAAGCGTAGTGAGTCTGAGTAAACTCAAGGAATGAGTCAGTGTATCCACACTCTTAGACCTTGCCCGTTTCCTTTCTTGCTATTACCGTAGCGACAGCAGCATGTGTACAGTTGCGTCATGCTGCTCGGGTTTCAGTGTGGGGCGGGGCAGCACAGGACGCTTTTTGTAGTGCCTCAAAATAATATTTCCCGATAAGAACATAGAGTCACCAATTGTATTTCCTTCGCGATTGTCCAGTTCGGTCTTTTGGTTACATCGCTCACTGTATGACGGGCATGACGAATAAGTAGTCCAATTTTAAAATGTCACCAGTAGCACGTCTACTCGTACATTGTGCCAAGTGAGACCAAAGAGTGTAGGGGTACAAGGACCTCAAGTTGGATATCCGAAATATTGGATAAATGCCCAAAGGTTGTAGTAGTAGGCCGAAGCGGCACTAGTAGTGAACCATTTCATGAGTAAGACATTTATTTTCCTCATGTTGTATTGTCTTAATAGGACGGACAAAGAGTGTACGAGTGTGTGTGTAGAGCTGAAGATGTTCCAATGGCTTTCCATCGGTTAATGTTTACCATAGTCAGCCCCTCGACAGTTGATCAGAGATGGGGGAAAAAAATAAAATAAAAATCACTTGCAACACCCCACGGCACAGGATAATCATGCAGGATAATCTTTCAGAGACCGTTGTTGATTTAGGTGACTATGCTGTAATTCGGCCTAAAAATCGGTCTGCGTGTACCCCTTCTTAAGCATTACTTCATGCTGAGAGAATGTTCACTGAAGGTTGTAGTCAAGTGTTCAAGTTAGTTGACGGAATGAAACAGTAACTGAAAGCATGACTGAAATGGTTCTGAATGTGCTTCATCCACCGTATGGGGCTGGGGAATCTACCTCTGTTAGAAAACACCTCCCAAAAAATTGTTGGTCCTTACATCATATGTTACTCACAAAAAGAGGGGGGGGGGGATCTTGGGCTTTTTAGGTTCATCCTGAAATTTTATCCAACAGACAAGATATCCCAGAATTTTTGTGAGTATAGTATTATTTTTTTAATTGTATTTTTTTTAAATCATTTAAAGGTTCCCCATGCTTGTTCTTTGCATTTCTATTTGGAGACGGTGTATACTTACTCCGCCGGTCTTCCAAATATACTGAGAAAACAATCCATGCGTGAGAGGTCTCCAAAGGGGCAACAAGATGGTGGTGTGAAGTGATCGTAGCGTCATTTTCCCTGAATGTGAACAGTGTTCTGCTTTAATGATACCGAGACAGTCCCAGGTTGAAAATCTAACAATATAATTTCAAAGTTCAAAACCCTTGTTATGGGTTACAGCTACACCACACCTCTTTTTGTCTTCTTCTATGGAGTATTTCAAAGGGAGAAGGCTAAGGACTATTTTTTTTTTTTTTTTTTTTTGTGACTTTGCACACATTACAAAAAGCTTCGCAGTGTTCATACCGTTGTCCAATCATCTCTTTGTTTTCCACAAGAGCACAGGTTCCTCATGTGCACCCATGTCGTGATTAGGTTGAACTAATTGTCCAAATTGGACTGTAATAATGGTTGATGAAAGGCGGAGAAGACATTTGTGTCTTTGGTTTGTCGATCAAGCCGTTGTTCTTTTTTCTTTTTGTTTTTAATTATCCTGTATGTATGTATATTCATCTGTTCAAGCAGTTTATCCCATTTTGTGCATATACCACCAGTTTGTAAGATATGATAAAGGAATCTACATGGGACGCCCTTGAATAAAAAGGTTTTACTAGATAGCGTTGGATTCCTAGCGGTGTCATTCTGGTCTTGCAGTTGATAGAATGACGTCAAGGCAGTTCCACAACTAGCCAACAGGTGGACACATTGAGTTGCATCACGTCAGGTGAAGTACATTTTGGTTTCTCGCTTGATTTCTAGTCATCCAAATTGTACGCTTCAGATGTTGCTCTGGTAATTCAGATGACGAACCCTCCCGCCCCCACACCCACAATATTTGTAGTTTTTAAATTAAGAAGTCGTTGATAAAATAGAAAGTGTGGGTGTGGGCCAAAGACAGTGTCTTAACAACAGGAGCCAATAACATCGGCAACTTGATGACATGTGTAACTAATCTTGTGATTTCACTCATTTTATTTTTTTTAGGCGGATGTCATGTGCTGGTGTTCCTAATGAAGCGGATTGGTGTAACCATCAAGCTACCGATTGGCTGCAACCACTGCATATTATGGTAAATATTTTTATTTTTATTAATTTTTTTGGCAGGGGTGATGGCGGGGGCACATAGAACCACACACTTCCTAATCAGATGTTTGACAAAAATGCCATATGCATGTAGAAAAGATCCACCCTCTTAACCCAACAACAAAGGCTTTGAGGCAAACAACGAACTGTGATTTATTATTTTGTTTTCTTCCCCATTGCAATGGCTCTCTCGCATAAAAATTAGCATTCCAGGACGGCACAAAACTGCTGAACAGCAAATCAACATTCGGTTCAAGAATGCATTCTGTGCTTTTTTTTCCTCTCCCCACAAAAATCAAGTCACTCAACATTTTAATATTTTTCAGTTACTGTTTCTCCTGATTATCATTCCGAATCTGTACCCCACCCAAAAAAAAAAAAAAACAACAACAAAAAACTTGTAATGGAAGTGTAAGGCCTGGTGGAAGCACAAGGGGCTGTGTATGTTCAAATATTCCAAATAATTTCTCTTGTGGTTGTCATCAGTAAGCTCACGGTTGAGCTGGAACCCCTGCCGAGGTGCAACCCTGACTGGTTTCCAGCCAATCGCAGTGCACGTAACAACAACATTTACCCTCCAAGTCACGCCCATGGACAATTTAGTCTTCATGGGCCTCACATGCAGGAGAAAAGCCAAGCTAGCGCAGGGGGGGAACATGCAAACCACACAGGACGGCCCCAGCCGAGAACCTCAGCTGCCCTCATGTCTAAAGTAATCTTTCATCAAACTAAATGTTCAACATCGTTCTAAAACCTCATCCGTCATCACCTACTCTGGATTATTCCCACAGTGGCCCCTCGAAAGAGGCAAGAATGATTCGACCAAGACGAAATTCGCTCATGACCTCAGCTGTTGATAAATGGACGTTTCCCTGAATGGCTGCTGAAAGCACTGAAAAGAGTTTTTTTTTTTCGGGGGTGATGTTATTTATGCAGCGCTGCTTCGTTTTTGCCTTTTGCCCCGCCGGAGAATTTGCAGCTCCCTCCCCAAAGAGCCCGAGTGCTGCACCTCCCACACACAGAAGGGCCTCCTCGTTGTACTTCCCCTTCTTCCTTGACTTTTGGAGCTGACTTCATCACATAATGCTGAAGGATGCTCTCATTTCCCAGCTTGTCTGCTTCTATTATGAAGCTTTGGCAGGCTTCATTTGGCAAAGGGGATGATACAGCTCTTCCTGTTTGTCTTTGTTATTCCAAACTCCAGCCAACTAACGGTGTCGTTTATTGTCATGCGTGCGGTGAAAAGCGCGCCAGTAAATACTTACTTGTCCAAAGAATCTTTTTCCTGCTCACTAGCTTGACTCGAGCGAAAATTAGCATTCGACGCTGGTCAACAGCAAATTTTATTCAGAGATGGCTTTGTGTCCGCCAATGTATTTTTGAGGCAGATTAAAAAAAAAAAAAAAATTTTTTTCTTGCACATCAGATTGTTGAGATATTTTCATTTTTTTTGTTTTTAAGCTTGACTTGCGCAATGTCGATTTTTATCACACGTAATTTAAAGCTGACGTTTTTGGAAAAAACAAAAAACAATTCCACCTGTTGGTGAACCTAAACCTTAATTTATTAATATTACTGAGTACATTATTGTGACAAAAACTTAGAGCAAAAAATGAGAGCAGATTCAGAATCGGCGCCAAAAACACTTGATTCTGTGATTTTAAAAAAACAACTTAGTAAAAGTGTGTTGACTCATATAATTGACGCTCATTATCGATGCATTGGAGAACAAAAAATTCAACTAAAAATTCCTGACTTCTGGCTGACAACCTCCAAACTTTTCCATGAAAAACGAGGGATGGCTTCTTCAATATATTTATCTTTTTCCTAATAAAAAAAAACGAATAATCTGTGACTTGGTGCCAGAAAATGTAGTCACGAGGTTGGTCATGTAATAAATTAAACTGTTATGTCTATAATATTACACGTGCACGCGATTTCGCAGTCTACAATAACTTGATGATGAACAAGCTTTTTTTTTTTTCTCACCACAGTGCCATCTGGTGGATCTAGTGAAGTACTGCCCCTCAAGCCCAACAACCACTGAGGTACCGCCACAAATGACTTCGCATGTCTCACACACGTCCACACGGGTCTCGCTCTATGTCTGTCGGTCCCTGTCAGCACAAAGAACCTGACACACTTTCTTTTCCACACCTACACACTTGCACAAATACAGTATGCCTCAGCCTCCTGAACCCCCCCACCCCTCCTCAAGGATGCCCGGCCAAGACAAACAGCAGCCTTGATTCATGGGTTCACAAGCAAATTCTATTCTCAACGGCACCGCGGCCTCTCGATGTAATACCATACTTAGTCCGTGGAGATAATATTGTTGTTGCAGAGCAAATGGGACTTGTCTTTTAATGGATGGGTCAGGAAAAAGAGGGCAGGGGGCGGGCAGTGATTTGGCAATAAAACAGCCACATTGTGTATAAGCACACATAGTGCCACTTATGCCTCTGCATTTATTTGACGTTAATGCATTTACGTTGCTGCACTCTTACTCCCTTTGCTTGGATTTATATGCGATAGTGAGAAAAAAGACGATGGAAAGAAATACCAGTGATTGATCCCTCAATTGTTCTTTTTTTTTCCTATTATCGCTAATCACATTGCTGTTGTAAAGTAGAACCATATCTAAGACTTAATGTGACCTCAGATGTTACTTGCAAGTCGGTGAGGTGTTATGACTTGTCGAGTGTGGAAAAGCAGCTCTGACCGATGTGGCGGCATTGGGGCCCAAATCTGACGGGGTGCCAATGTCATCAAATAATGTTTATTTTATTTATTTGATTTTGGGGGGCGCTGAATACTTTCCATCCTTTTTTTTTTTTGTACCTGCAGTGGAGCATGTATTTTTGAATATTCTCTCTCTGTACTCCCCAAGTTATCCGAATAAAATAACAACATTCAGTACTCCCCATACACTATTCAGTCTAATGAGGTCCAAAAATTAACAGTATCAATATTTCTTGCTTCTATGATAGTGATAATGTGTCGAATAATACAGAAAAAAAGTCTTCATTATTATAATTGTTACCAAAAATTGCTATTTTATCTTCATAGTAAAGTAGTGCTTTGGCACCATCGTCCGGCATCACAAGTCTGCTTAATCTACTTTGCGGTTACAATCTACATATATTATTTTGTGAAAATTCCAAAAGCAACAGTAGGTGCACTGACTTCTACCATTTATCTAAAGTGCTTGTGTGCATTTTTGTTGGCCCATGAGTGAGGTTAGTTTGTGCTAGCATGTTATTTCGGGTCACGTACACGCAGGGATTTCATTCCGAGTGTCTGGAGATGGCCTCTCATGCAATGAAAGTGTCGAACTGCCGCTGAAGATGGCGGCGGTGGAATGATGACACTCATGCATGCCATTTTGGGGGAAAAATGTGTTCCGGCCTCACACACGCGCACGTGCGCGTCTCAAGAGGCCATGAAATGAGTTGCCCACGCACACCAACTCGCTCGACTTCATCCTCCTCGCTGGTTCAACACTTGCCTGCAGCCTCTCTGACCGCTTGCAATGAGAGTGTCGTTCGGGTCTATTTGGCACCGCTGCTGAGGTGCCTCACTCATCGCCTGTCAATAGCCAAAGTGACACTGCGGCCCCTTTCTCGCCAGAGTAAAGGATGGTGAGGAGTGACGCTCACGAGGAGAGGACACACGTGGCGTCCGTTTATTGTGAATACCGAGGCCGGCGACGCCTTCTCTGCCGCCTTTAAAACTAATTGGCTCGGTGATGAAGTGCTGCATTCATGAGGGAAAATGGAATCGATGCTTTCACTCTTGGTGAGAGATGAGTTGCTTTTTAGTCTCGGCGGCTCAACAAGTTACAGCGCGCTAGTCGTCATGGCAACAAAAGCCGTTAGCAGACCCCCGTAGATGGGGCGGGGTGAGCAGGGGCTACTATGTAACGAGTGAGGCGAAATTGTGCACTAGTTGACAATTGTGCTATTAATGAAGTTATAAAGTTGGACTAGGAAACATGTAGTGGAAGGATGTCAACTAGTGCACAGTTTTGCCCCACTGGTAACATATTTGTCCGAGTTGTGAGGACAAAGGCTGTACTCGTATATTAACCCTTTCACGTCCACAGTGGACAGCTCATCACGTTATCAGGTTACAATGTGCATGAAAGGGTTAAGCTGGAGTCCAAGTATGCAAATAAATGTTCAAATAGCTTGATGGGAAGTAATCTATTCGATATCTGTTATGGCTACTAGTGCATGACACATACCTCCAAGATGGGACCAGTTACCAGCGCAGCACAGTAGTTATTAACTCGATTTTTATAGAGTTCCCGTCGACGACATGTCAACGGCACTCAGTTAAGTACTGTTTTTTTTTTTTTTCTTTCATAAATTTAAGCACAGTGTTGATGTTCAAAAACCGCAAGATGTTTCAGTGGCTTCCAATAACAGATTTTTCAGGAATAAAATTTGTCTTGTGTGTTTTTTTTTTTTTTTAATGAACATACTACTATATTACTGAAAATAGTGGTCAGGATAGTACTACATGGAGAACTTTTTTTTTTGAAGCGATTCAACCGTGCTGGATCACATTCCAGAGTATCCAAGTGTGCAATGTTGTTGGCCTGTGCATGTATCTTCATATTCACATACACTACAGTCAAGGAATGACCAGAGGACAGTTTACATCTTCTGGAATCATACAGCAAGCGTAGTTGGCCACCAAGCATGCATAACAGCACCCCGCAGCCTCACATGATGCCTCTCTATGAAAACCGCAGACAGACAAAACGCCAAACTCGCAAAGCTAATTTCTCCCGACTAATTCTACAATAGCTGCGACGTGATTGCTTGTTGTCAGAGAAGGGTCAGAGTGTTCTCCTTAATGGAGCCCCGCACGGCTGATTTAGTGCGCCACAAGCCAAATGAAGAGCGATCACGCCGCCAGCACGCAACACTCGCTGGACTGTTTCCCAGCAGCCGTGCCGGACTTTGCTTCCAAATCTCTGCGAGCGTTCCCCGAGGCTGATTCATTGGACAGTTTTATCATGTACGGTCTCGACACTGTGCTGTATATCCGTCCATGCAGAAAGTATGTTTCCAGTGTTGCGATCAAAGCCGTGGCTAAATGCGGGCAATGTATTTAACGTGGCACGAATGAGTGTTTTGCAGTATTTTATTTTCCTTTATAACGTTTTTTTTGTTTTTTTTCTCCATTGTGCAAGTTGTACGTTGCACAGCAGATTTATGATGGATGTAATATTGAAGCCTCTCACGCTCCATCGTGAAGACCACGTCAGTGTTATTACATCAGTGAACTCTTGCCCTCTGGAGTGTACGGTCTTATTCCCGCCGAGCCCTCTCCGGCGGATTAGAAGCGAAGAAAGCGTCTGTCGGCTACCAGGCAACTGCATCCTGTGTATAAGATAGCGAGCGGCGATGATGCCGGCTCGCAATATCGGCCCGGCGTCGTCTTTGTCATGCAAATGTGGGAAATTGCATTTGAGTGTCACGAACTCCTTGGCTGAAGGGTGCGTTACTTGAATGAAACATCAAAATCACACCGACACTTGTGGGGGGGGGGGACAAAACTCTTAATGGCGTATGCTCATGGCGAGGAAATGGAAATAGGAGCAATCGTGGAACAGGCGTGTAAATTTGAGGCTGTTGTGCGCTCTTTTTTTTTTTTTTAGACCCCAACCGATTCCAATAATTTTCTGACAACCGATTAATTGGCTGATTATTTAAAAACATGTCTAATAAATAAAATAACTTCATAATAATAATAATAAAACTATGAATTGCAGGTCGCCGTTTGACAATACTTTGTACTTTGGTATATGAGAAAAATAAAAGATGGCCACTTTTTTTTTGTGGGTAGAGTGGGATGATTGAATGTTGTTATCTTCACCTTGTTTAAAAAAAAACAAACAAACAAAACAATTTAATGAGACGAAAATTAGACTTTAGGTTCTTAAATGTAGGTCAGTGCTTGTGCTAGCTGGAACCTCGATGGCCCAATACTGACAAGTTCAGACTTGACAGCTGAGACAGGACGCAACACAATCCCCCCCACGATTTGGAGGACACCCCACCATCAATAAATGTCAGTCAAAGATGGCCGCCTTCCACTGTGTCATCTGTTTCTTTTTCGCATGATCTTTTCAAAGTGACAAAACGCTCATTTGGAGTTGTCAACCCATCATGCCTTCTTTCATTTGAACACAAAACCGTCGTGACGCCTTGTGCAGTTTTTTTTTTTTTGGTGGTCTTTTCAAACCAAGGGGACAGACTTTGTAATGTACCGTAGCTGGTCTCTTTTTGTGGCTCTTTCGGGGATTATAGCTCTTAAGATAAAATACTTTTGCATGGTTCCAAAGCAAAGTGCACAAATTTTGGCATTATTATTATTTTGCTACTCATAAACATTTCATGATGGCACTCGATTAAGCTGCCGCCTTCAGGCATGAGTCATTTTTACCTGTTTGCACGAATAGATTAAATGACAGACTTCCTTTTTCTTTGCTTTCAGAAGACTGACATGTTTTTTTTCTGAACACTTCCAGGAATTTCCATGTAAACAAGTCTCCATTTTATTTATGAATTTTTATTTTCGGGACAGTACCAGTAGACCGACAGACTGCCACTGTTATCTGAGCCGTGTTGGCCGGGTGTGCTTAAGCTCAGGACACGTTGATCCGTGTGACGCGTTCTGGCTTTATCTGCGGCCGTCCACTAGTTAAGTCTTCTTCTGGGGCACTTTTTACTAGCACTTCCCACTGGAGTGACGGGAATTGGTTTCACACGAGCGGGGGTTGAGCATGTGGTGGGGGGTTTATAGTGTTGACTGTGCGAAGTAGTGGTCTGCGCCAGTTGACATGCTGCAGGTGGCGGCCTGTTGTACGTTCAACTCGGGCAGGAATGCGACAAGTCCCTTTGGGGGCGCTTGTATTTTTAGCAAAGATAACCAAAAAATGTGCGGTCATTGTTTGGCAACAAATAGCCGCGTTTTTATAATGAGAGGGGGCCGGGTAGCGTTCCAGGTGGAAAATCGGCTGAATGACAGTGGGTCAGGACTTTCTAGTCGGGACCTAGGGGGGGTTCCTCCTAGTGATTTATGGCCGTCCCTCGCGCGCCGCCCTGTCTATCTTTAGCCGCCGCGGCTTTTTATGTGGCGCTTGAAGCCAGGCCCGTGCTGTGCCGCTGGTGTCAGAGCCGGCTGCCTACAGTCGGGCCTTCCACTCGGCTCTGCCGGCTCACTGCATGCTCACCTGCTGAGATAGGTATGCCTCAGAGTAATTCAAGGTCCTGTTTTTTTTTTTTTAAGCCAACAGCAGCTGCCACACCAGATAACCCAAACAATGCAGTTAGCTCATGATGCAATGATTAGATCACTTGTCATAAAAAACTATTTGAGGATTCTCTCTCACCGATTAGTCGGGTGGCTGTGAAAGGTTTCCAGACCTTAAAAACTCATTTAAAAGCATTTAATCTGTTGGGAGTTTTTCTTTCAAAACTAACAAACTGAATTTATCATCTCACAATCTACATCAAACTTAATTGATTGTCTTCGATTATAAGATCGTAATGATCGCGAGAAGCCAAAATCGAAATCACGATGACATTTGATCAATTGCCCACCCCTTTATGAAATGAACCTGCAGCTGTTTCTTTCTGTAGGCATACAATTCAGGATGGGAGAGGATTGAGAAATTCATTAATTCCTTTCTAATCTCTTCAGGAAAAATGAGGCCGATCTCGAAATGCTTCCTGTTTTCACTCGTCTTTCAAATTTGCACAGTATCCATCCATCCATCCATTTTCCGATCCGCTTTATCCTCACAAGGGTCATGTGGGGTGTTGGAGCCCCTCCCAGCTGTCTTCGGGCAGTAGGCGGGGGACACCCTGAACCGGTTCCCCGCCAATTGCAGGGCACACAGACACGAACAACCATTCGCGCTCACAACCAGTTCAATCAGCCTGCCATGCATGACTTTGGAATGTGGGAGGAAACCGGAGTACCCGGAGAAAATCCACGTGGGCGGGAGAACATGCAAACGGCACACACGAAGGCCGGAGCCGGGATCAAACCCACAACCTCTGCACTGTGAAGTCGACGCGCTAACCACGCGCCCACCAAGCCGCCCAATTTACACGGTATTAAAAACAATAGTGTGCATCCACCTAGTGTCTGAAAGTGGAATTACAATGGAATTTGAACCCACGAATGTATCAAATCAAGAACACTATCGTCATTATCTTTATAAAAGTGAAATTTATAAAGCACTTTTCGCTAATGTATTTGGAGTTTCTTTCACAGGCCATTAGAATTCAAATGAAGTGCAAATTTCAAGCAAAAAGTGCACATATTCAGCGCCGAGAGGTCATCAATCACCCGATGATGGCCCGCAAGTGTTCAATTCAAATTCCTTCCACAATTATTCTGCATTGAATCAAATGGAACGTGCTTTATTGTGCTCGTTTGTAGTCGCCCACAAACTTCAGCGGCCTTCTCTCCTTTGTTTACTTTTTGCTTACTTTCCCTTCTCATAACAGTCATCCCCAAGCTGAATCGCGTCTCGTAAAAGTTGAACTGCCACTTTTTGGAAAGCGCCCCCGTTTGGGGAGTTAGCCAGTGCACCCCACATTTCCTGCCACCATAGCACTGAAATTCTTGTGCATGGCCTCCAGATGGTACGCTTTACGCTGTCGGGGGGGGGGGGGGGGGGAATAACAAAGGCTGCGCCGTATAGGCACAACTGGCCACCCGCTTCACCCATTTCCCGTCTCGACGCGCACATGTGCTTACGTCGTGCTCGCCTGACGTGTGGACAGAACTCGACATGTTTTTGGCATGGATGTCACCCACCCAAGAGCCCGAGGGACACACACACACCCACTCACGCACTCTCACTCTTAAACACTCTCACACACTTTCTCATTCACGCATACAGAGACTCGCACACTTTAACACAAAGTCTCACTCACACGCTCACACGCGCACTTCCACTCTCACTGACACACTCACACATTCTCACTTTGAACTCACACATACGCT